CCTTGTTGAACGTTGCCTCGCCCACGTTACTTCTTCCAGCATTCCCATTTATGCAAAAGTTACCTCCGTTCTTGCGCAGCTTCTCGGATTCTTCAAGCAGCTTCTCCTTCATTCAATCAGTGTACCTTTTCCACAATCGATGAGATCAAATCAAATTCCCGACGTGCTGGCGCGACTCATCAATTAGTTCACCCATTGTCTGAAGATCCACGATCAGTTTGTCAAAAGAGTCACAATGTTTTGCAATGCTAGTACCACTTTCCATTTTGAAGTCGTGAAAACGTCGCGTTATCGTCACGCGATTGTGCAGTGCCGAGTGATTTTAAAAATTACGTAGTATTTTCTCATTCCTCCATGATTCTTCTGGCCAGCTTAATCTTAGTCTAATGTTGGATATTAACGTCTTACGCACTGATTCTCGATGCTTTGACGTCGTTGATTAGCCACGTCACTGTGTTATCGTACTAATTTTTGACGGCCAAGACATGGCCAAATAGACCCTTTCTCACGAGAGTCACCAATCTAACCATATGAAGTGGAACTTTCCGGCCAGTTAACATATCACAGACATGCTTCGGTATTTGCAGTGAGCATAGGACAGTCAGTATGATGGCTTATCGACATTGGTGCAACATCCTACACGACCCCTCACCACGGGAAATACTTATTCGGACATAAGAACCTTGAGACAAGCATTGACCTGGTAATTGTAGATGGGCAAAAGTTGCTTGTCATAGAAATCGGCACTGTGATATCTGATCGGTTTGGGTGGAAATATCTCAGGATTTGACAAACGATTATTATCTGTTGACAAGCTTGCTAAACACAGTATTAGTGTGGAGTTTTTGTGTTCGTCGTGTGTCATCTGGATCATCAATAAGTCAATTGCTTCGGGCACAAGAATTGGTGAAGCGTGTTTGCTCAAATGTGAGCAGAAAGAAGCACGTTTTGTAGAGTATCCACGGCTGACACTCAGTGGTAGCTTAGGCATGTTTGCAAGAGACATCTGTATAGGGATGCTTTACAAAGGCACAGCGCTCGACCAAAGGTATCCCGGTGATCGAACGAGAGATTGTTTTCCAGGTACTTGAAGGGTACTCATACAATTAAGGCATTTCTATCATGTTCAATGATTAAGGCGGTACATGTCCTCGAGTGGGTGCACAAATATACCCTGGGTTCAATGTGGACTTCCTTGAAAAGAGGTACAAATAAATCCTCACATTTGGGGTGAGAATGCGATTTCTGATCAAAAGCAAGAGTGAAGTAACTGGCACAAGATCTTTGTAAAATTCAAATGGGTGTTTACCTCAGATACATGAGATCACACGACGGAACAGAGATGATGAGCGAAATGATGGTTAGAATGATTTTGTTCACCAAACTTCGGTATATCTAGAATTCGGCAAAATGGAGTGACGGAGCGCGAATATCATGGAAAAGCTCGCATTATGCTTTACAACAAAAACGTTTCAACTGAACAATGGACGAACATTGTGATTTGTTTTATTAATCGCTCCCCAACTACAGATCATCTCGACTTCACGCCATATGAATTGGCAAAGTTTAATTTTGCGGTGTTAAGGATCACTGTGGGGTACCTTGCCAGTATCTTCGCCCCTCGTGCGGCGTCGTGGTTTGCTGATCAGATGATATACTATTACAGTAGAGTAACTTGGTACAGATATGGTAGTGTTTTGACGATAACGGCATGGGTGAAAAATGATGAACTTTTTATTCGGGCATAATCGTCAAATCAATAGGTTCTAAGCTGCAATTTCGTTTTTGGAATTTTTTAAGCCCCAGCATTTATCTAAAGCATATAAGAAGGGCAGAGGTAGAAGTGATGCGTGCTTGTGTGTGCAAATGCAGAAGTGA